CACACCCCACACAACACCCATCAACAAAACACCACATCAACCACAACCCCCACCACACCACCCCCTCAACACCACCCACAAAACCCCACCACCCACACACAACCATAAGCAACCAACAACACCACACCAACACAACACCAACACAACAACACAGCAACACCACAGAAACACAACACCACAGCAACACAACACCCACCACACAACACACCCCAAACCCAAAACAACCCCAGCAACACCATAGCAACACAGCAACACCACATAAACACAACACCACCACAGCAACACAGCAACTAGCACAGCTCCAACTAAAGAGATAACCCATTGTCCACCAAGCAGAAGAACAATAAATAAAAGGGATCCCCGAAAAAAAAAGGAAGGGGGACTGTAATGACAGAGTTTAGTTTATACAACATACCCCCAAACACATTAGTTGGGGGGGGAAAGATTATGTTTTTATAAAAATAATTAAATTTATATTCTCCCTCTACTTTTTTCATATGAAATTTAAATAATAAAAACAAACCCTCTCAGGCGGTGAATTGATCAGGTTTTTACCCAGGGATGGGGTCTACCTTTTGGGGCCCCCCCCCCTTTCTTTTACGGTGGAAAAGCAAAAAAGGGAAAGTTTTTTAAAATGAAATTTTCCGGGCATTCCCCAAACTTCTGGCATGGGGCAGCAAAAAATATGTTTATACTAATTTTCCCGTAATTCTTCCCCCTTTCTGCCATGAAATTATCCCTTTAACCTGATTCCCAGGGAAAGAAAATCAATGGGGTGGGGCCCCCTGGAGGTTATGCCTGGAGCCCGCCCTGGGTCTACCAACAGATAGGGGGGTCGATGGGGCCCCCCCGGAGGTTTTGGGCCCGGGCCCGCCCCGGGTTACCCGACAGTAGGGGGCTGAAAGGGGCCCCCCTTGGGGGTTTTGGGCCGGGGGCCAGCCCCGGGCACCAAAAAAGATAGGGCTCTGATGGGGCCTCCTGGAGGTTAGCCTGGACCGCCCTGGGGCTCCAACAATAGGGGCCCCTGAAAGGGGCCCTTTCCTTTGGGGGTTATCCTGGAGCCCCCCCCCGGTCTACCAACGATAGGGGTCTGATGGGGCCCTCCTGAGGTTATGGGCCCGGAGCCAGCCCGGGTCACCAAAGATTTGGGGTCTGATGGGGCCCCCCTTGGGGGTTAAAAGCCCGGAGCCAGCCCTGGGTCTAAACCCAAAAGATTTTTGGGGTCCTTGGATGGGGCCCCTCCCTTTTTCCTTTCCCCCCTTTAGGTTTTTGCCCTGGAGCCCCCTGGGGCTACCAACAGATAGGGTCGTGGGGCCCTCCTGGAGGTTATCCTGGGCCCCCGGGTCACCCTAGGGCCCGATGGGGCCTCCTGGAGGTTATCCTGGAGCCAGCCCTGGGGTCTACCAGACAGATAGGGTCTGGGGCCTCTCCTGGAGTTATGCCTGGCCGCCCTGGGTCTACCAGACAGATAGGTCTGATGGGCCCCCCTGGAGGTTGCCTGGCCTCGGCAGGGGGCCGTGGGCCCAGCAGATGGGCTCTGGGGCCCCTCCTGGAGGTTTGGGGCCGCCTGGGTTATGCGGGCCCGGATGCCAGCACCTGGGTCTCTGAGGGACCTGGGGTTGCCGGATTGCCGGGTCGCCACCGGGGGTTAGGGCCCCCGGAGGGCCAGCCCTGGGTCTAACCAGACAGATAGGGCTCTGATGGGGCCCTCCTGGAGGTTATGCTGGCCAGCGCCTGGTCTACCAGAAAGTTGAGGGCCTGGGGTTGCCGAGCCGCCCTGGGTTTCCAAGAGTAGGCTCTGAGGGGCCCTCAGAGTATGGGCCACCTGGGTGCTACCAGACGAGGGTTTGGGGCCCTGGGGTTTCCAGCAGCCTGGGCCAGATGGGTGGGCCCTCCGGAGTTATCTGGAGCCAGCCCTGGGTCTACCAGACAGATAGGGGTCTGATGGGGCCCTCCCCGGGGTTATGCCTGGCCAGCCCTGGGTTCTACAGACAGATAGGTCTGATGGGCCCTCCTGGGGCTTAGCCTGGGCCGCCTCGGTTACCAGACGCTGGGTGCTCGGGCTATGGGTGATCCGGGCCGCCTGGCTAAGGCGATGGGCCCCCTGTTACGACAGCGGTCTACGCTTTGGGGGTATATGGCCCCTGGGTACCGAGCAGCCCTGGGCCCAGACAGATGGGTCTGATGGCCCTCCTGGGAGGTTATGCCTGGAGCCAGCCCCCGGGTCTACCCAGACATAGGGTTGATGGGGGGCGTCCCGGAGTATGCCTGGCCACCCTGGGTCTCCAGACAATAGGGGTTTGATGGGGGCCCTCCTGGGGTTTTGCCTGGAGGCCGCTGGGGGCTCCGGAGGATGGGCCTGAGGGCCCGGGCACAAACAGAAGGGGGTGGGCCTCCTGGAGGCCGCCCCCTGGGTCACCAGACAGATAGGGTCTGATGGGGCCCTCCTGGAGGTTATGCCTGGAGCCAGCCCTGGGTCTACCAGACAGATAGGGGTCTGATGGGGGCCTCCTGGAGGTTATGCCTGGAGCCAGCCCTGGGTCTACCAGACAGATGGGCTCGATGGGGGCGCCTCCGAGGTTATCCTGGAAGCCCGTGTTCCAGACTAGGCCTGAAGGGCCTCCGATGTGGGCCTGGAGCCCCCTGGGGGCCAGGGCTCCAGGACAGATAGGGGTTGGGGGCCCTCCTGGAGGTTAGCTGAGGGCCCGCAGGGCTACCGACGATAGGGTTTGTGGGGCCTCTGGAGGTACCCCCGGGGTCAGCCTCCTGGTTACCGAGAGGGCCCTGGATCCGGGCCGCCTGGGGTTCTCCTGGAGTAGCCTGTGCACCAGCCTGGTTTGCCGAGGGTGGGGCCCTCTGGAGTTGCTGGGCCGCCCTGGGGTCTACCAGACAGATAGGGCTCTGATGGGCACCTCCTGGAGGTTATGCCTGGAGCCAGCCCTGGGTCTACCAGACAGATAGGGGTCTGATGGGGCCCTCCTGGAGGTTATGCCTGGAGCCAGCCCTGGGTCTACCAGACAGATAGGGCTCTGATGGGGGCCTCCTGGAGGTTATGCCTGGAGCCAGCCCTGGGCCTGGGCCCTGATAGGGGCCCTGGAGGGGCTCGCTGGAGCTGGCCTAACCACCTGGGGTCTAGGGCCCGACAGGGGTATCATGGGGCCCCTCCTGGATTAACCTGGAGCCGCCCTGGGCTCCCTAGGTCAGGGCCCTCTGAGGGCCCCTAGGTCGTGGGCCCCTGGGGTCCGGAAGGGCTCGAGGGCCTCTGGAGGTGGGCCGGAGTAGCCCTGAGCCCCCCGGACAGAGGGTCTGATGGGGCCCTCCTGGAGGTTATGCCTGGAGCCAGCCCTGGGTCTACCAGACAGATAGGGTCTGATGGGGCCCTCCTGGAGGTTATGCCTGGAGCCAGCCCTGGGTCTACCAGACAGATAGGGCTCTGATGGGGCCCCCGGTGCCGAGCCAGCCCTGTCCAGACGATAGGGCTGATGGGGCCCCCTGGGGTTTGCTGGAGCCCCCGGGGGTTTAAAATGGGGCGGGGGCCCTCCTGGAGGTTATGGGGCCCATGGGCCCATCATAGGGTTGATGGGCCCCTGGATGCCTGAGCCGCACTGGGGATACGGGCTATGGCCTCCTGGGTTATGCCTGGAGCCAGCCCTGGGTCTACCAGACAGATAGGGGTCTTGGGGCCCTCCTGGAGGTTATGCCTGGAGCCAGCCCTGGGTCTACCAGACAGATAGGGCTCTGATGGGGCCTCCTGGAGGTTATGCCTGGAGCCACCCGGGTATACCGACAGAGGGCTCTGATGGGGCCTCCTGGAGGTTATGCCTGGAGCCAGCCCTGGGTCTACCAGACAGATAGGGCTCTGATGGGCCCTCCTGGAGGTTATGCCTGGAGCCAGCCCTGGGTCTACCAGACAGATAGGGGTCTGATGGGGCCCTCCTGGAGGTTATGCCTGGAGCCAGCCCTGGGTCTACCAGACATAGGGCTGATGGGGCTCCGGGTTGCCGCCCAGGTGCCTCAGCAAGGGTGATGGGCCTCCTGAGATGGACCAGCCTGGGTCTACCGCAGATAGGGCTGGGGGCCCCGGGTAGCCTGGGCCTGGCCCGGAGGTTAGCATGGAGGTGCCATGGGCCCTCCTAAGACTAGGGCCTGTGGGCTCCATGGAGTTTTGGCCTGGGGCCCCCTGGGGTTTCGCCACCCGGGGAGGTCTGATGGGGGGCCCCCTGGAGGTTACATGCCTGGGCCAGCCCTGGGTTACCAGACAGATAGGGTCTGATGGGCCCTCCTGGAGGTTATGCCGGAGCCAGCCCTGGTCTCGCTACAGACATAGGGCCTCTGATGGGGACCTTGGAGGTGGTATGCCGGAGCCAGCCTGGGTCTCCAGACAGATGGGCTTGGACGGCCTGGCACCTGAGAAGGTTGCTTTGGGCCGCCCTGGGGTTATCGAGCCAGCCCGGGTCCCGATGGGCTCCTTGGGGCCTGGGGCCCGGAGCCAGCCCTGGTCTACCAGAAAAGGGGGTCTGATGGGGCCCTCCTGGAGGTTATGCCTGGGCCAGCCCTGGGCTCCGACAGATAGGGCTGAGGGGCCTCCTGGAGTCGGGCCACTCCTGGGTCACAGATGGGCCGGGGCCTCCTGGAGGATGGGCCGCCCTGGGTCCAGACGGGAGGTTATGCCGGCCAGCCTGGTCTACCAGACAGGGGTCTGATGGGTCCTGGAGGTTAGGCCTGGCAGCCTTGGTCTACCAGACAGATTGGCTGAGGGGCCCTGATGGGGTTATCCTGGAGAGCCTGGGCACCCGGGTTTTCCAGACAAAGAGAGGTGGTCCTGTGGGAGCCCTCCTGGGGTTCCAGATGAGGGCCCCGGGGCCTCCTATTATCTCTGACATCCGGTTCCTAAAGGATAGGCCTGGTGGCCCTCTAGACCTGGGCCCGTGGGTTCCCCTGTAGGTGTGCTGATGGGCCCCTGGTCTACCGAAGGTAGGCCTATGGCGCCCTCTGTACTATGGGCTGAGGCCTGGTTCCAACCAGGGCCGACGGGGTCCCGAAGAGGCTATGCGGCCCCCTGGGCTAACCAGACAGGGGTCATGGCTCTGGGTCTTGCCCCTGGTCCAGCCCTGGGTTAACAGACAGATAGGGCTCTGATGGGGCCCCTGGAGCCCTCGGCCCTCCTGGAGGTTATGCCTGGAGCCAGCCCTGGGTCTACCAGACAGATAGGGCTCTGATAGTTCCCTACTAGGAGCGTACTGCTGAGTGTAATACTTACTCCTATGCTCGAAGGAGCATTACAGATTCTGACAGGGAAGAACTCCCCACTACGAATAGACAGTGCCATCGATAGAACACATTAGATTCTAATATGGTTCCCTGTGAAGGACTAGGCCCAGGCTTTGGTGCTGTCTGGATAAACCAAGCAGACCTGGGTTCAAATAGTATTTGTTTTCTTAAACATTTTTTTTTTGCTGTGCTTGATTGATCTTTCCTGGCACATTGGAACCAATGGAAATAGTCCCGAAAGTGCAAACTCAGCCCATCTGGTTACTTCAGGCAGGCTCAAAGAAAAGCTGGTATTTGAACCCAGGCAGGTCTGAACCGACGCGGTCACTAATTAACGCTAGCCGTCGCTGTAAACAGAGATCTAAAATGGCCAAAAGAGTGGAGTCCTTGGTCTGTCTGTCTGTCTGTCGTCTGTCTGTCTGTCTGTCGGTCTGTAGAGGACTGGGTTAGAGCCAGAGAGAGATATGCTGGCAGTCTACTGGGGCAACCAATGTCATAATAATAAGGCAGTGAAATGAAAATGGGTCTTTGGTGTTCTCTCAAACCGAGAGAGGAATGGTGTTCTCTCAAACCGAGAGAGGGATGGTGTTCTCTCAAACCGAGAGAGGAATGGTGTTCTCTCAAACCGAGAGAGGAATGGTGTTCTCTCAAACCGAGAGAGGGATGGTGTTCTCTCAAACCGAGAGAGGGATGGTGTTCTCTCAAACCGAGAGAGGGATGGTGTTCTCTCAAACCGAGAGAGGGATGGTGTTCTCTCAAACCGAGAGAGGGATGGTGTTCTCTCAAACCGAGAGAGGAATGGTGTTCTCTCAAACCGAGAGAGGAATGGTGTTCTCTCAAACCGAGAGGGATGGTGCTCTCTCAAACCGAGAGAGGAATGGTGTTCTCTCAAACCGAGAGAGGAATGGTGTTCTCTCAAACCGAGAGAGGGATGGTGTTCTCTCAAACCGAGAGAGGAATGGTGTTCTCTCACACCGAGAGAGGGATGGTGTTCTCTCAAACCGAGAGAGGGATGGTGTTCTCTCAAACCGAGAGAGGGATGGTGTTCTCTCAAACCGAGAGAGGGATGTTTTGCGTAAAGCAGTGAGTGTTGCACCTCAGGGAACAATCAAGGGCTACAACAATAACATCATGGGTGAAAGTTAACTAAAATTGTTTTTTTTGTCAACATACTGTATGATTGATCCACAGCCAATAGAAGAGGAGAACACCACACTAGTCTCACTGTGCCATTTAAAGACCCCACATCTTCTTTATGAAAACAACAACATGGTAATAACAAGGTATTTTCTGAAATATTTAGTGCAGTGGAATCATGCAGGGGTGGGTTGGTTCTGATCATAGGGCAATAGGAGGAGGAGGAGGGAGGGTTGGGTTGGTTCTGATCATAGGGCAATAGGAGGAGGAGGGAGGGTTGTGTTGGTTCTGATCATTGGGCAATAGGAGGAGGAGGAGGAGGGAGGGGTTGGGTTGGTTCTGATTATAGGGCAATAGGAGGAGGAGGGGGGGACTGGTTCTGATCATAGGGCAATAGGAGGAGGAGGAGGGAGGGTTGGGTTGGTTCTGATCATAGGGCAATATGAGGAGGAGGAGGGGTTGGGTTGGTTCTGATCATAGGGCAATAGGAGGAGGAGGAAGGGTTGGGTTGGTTCTGATCATAGGGCAATAGGAGGAGGAGGAGGAGGGAGGGGTTGGGTTGGTTCTGATCATAGGGCAATATGAGGAGGAGGGAGGGTTGGGTTGGTTCTGATCATAGGGCAATAGGAGGAGGAGGAGGAGGGAGGGGTTGGGTTGGTTCTGATCATAGGGCAATAGGAGGAGGAGGAAGGGTTGGGTTGGTTTCTGATCATAGGGCAATAGGAGGAGGAGGGAGGGTTGGGTTGGTTCTGATCATAGGGCAATAGGAGGAGGAGGAAGGGTTGGGTTGGATCTGATCATAGGGCAATAGGAGGAGGAGGAGGGGTTGGGTTGGTTCTGATCATAGGGCAATAGGAGGAGGAGGAAGGGTTGGGGTTGGTTCTGATCATAGGGCAATAGGAGGAGGAGGAAGGGTTGGGTTGGTTCTGATCATAGGGCAATAGGAGGAGGAGGAAGGGTTGGGTTGGTTCTGATCATAGGGCAATAGGAGGAGGAGGAAGGGTTGGGCTGGTTCTGATCATAGGGCAATATGAGGAGGAGGAGGGAGGGTTGGGTTGGTTCTGATCATAGGGCAATAGGAGGAGGAGGAAGGGTTGGGCTGGTTCTGATCATAGGGCAATAGGAGGAGGAGGAGGGAGGGTTGGGTTGGTTCTGATCATAGGGCAATAGGAGGAGGAGGAGGAGGGAGGGGGGGTTGGTTCTGATCATAGGGCAATAGGAGGAGGAGGAGGGAGGGTTGGGTTGGTTCTGATCATAGGGCAATAGGAGGAGGAGGGAGGGGTGGGTTGGTTCTGATCATAGGGCAATAGGAGGAGGAGGAAGGAGGGGTTGGGTTGGTTCTGATTATAGGGCAATAGGAGGAGGAGGAGGAGGAGGAGGTTGGATTGGTTCTGATCATAGGGCAATAGGAGGAGGAGGAGAAGGGAGGGTTGGGTTGGTTCTGATCATAGGGCAATAGGAGGAGGAGGAAGGGTTGGGTTGGTTCTGATCATAGGGCAATAGGAGGAGGAGGGAGGGTTGGGTTGGTTCTGATCATAGGGCAATAGGAGGAGGAGGAAGGGTTGGGTTGGTTCTGATCATAGGGCAATAGGAGGAGGAGGAAGGGTTGGGTTGGTTCTGATCATAGGGCAATAGGAGGAGGAGGAAGGGTTGGGTTGGTTCTGATCATAGGGCAATAGGAGGAGGAGGGGGAGGGTTGGGTTGGTTCTGATCATAGGGCAATAGGAGGAGGAGGGGGGGACTGGTTCTGATCATAGGGCAATAGGAGGAGGAGGGAGGGTTGGGTTGGTTCTGATCATAGGGCAATAGGAGGAGGAGGAGGAGGGTTGGGCTGGTTCTGATCATAGGGCAATAGGAGGAGGAGGGGGGGACTGGTTCTGATCATATGGCAATAGGAGGAGGAAGGGTTGGGTTGGTTCTGATCATAGGGCAATAGGAGGAGGAGGAGGAGGAGGAGGGGTTGGGTTGGTTCTGATCATAGGGCAATAGGAGGAGGAGGAGGGAGGGGTTGGGTTGGTTCTGATCATAGGGCAATAGGAGGAGGAGGAGGAGGAGGGTTGGGTTGGTTCTGATCATAGGGCAATAGGAGGAGGAGGAGGGTTGGGTTGGTTCTGATCATAGGGCAATAGGAGGAGGAGGAAGGGTTGGGTTGGTTCTGATCATAGGGCAATATGAGGAGGAGGAGGAGGGAGGGTTGGGTTGGTTCTGATCATAGAGCAATAGGAGGAGCATGGGATGGTGTGGATGCCCTGAGGCCCAGAGAGTCTACCGGTTTGCTCCTATGATGCATAAAGTAGTCCACCCATTCCAGGCAAAGTCCATCAGAAACACGTACTCAGGTTGGAAAAAACAAGGATTTTTTGTGAATCTTTTTTAAACTTTGAATGAGTATTTTGAATCATTTCATTTTCCAGCAAAAATAATACCCATTGAACATACATGTTAAGGGCCTCTATTGAACTTGTCTCGATATTACAGAACTATCGATACTGCCCTAATGGGTTTAGCCATCGCCACTGTGAATGACAGACAGTCTCCTCATGACCCTGCTCTTTACGAATGCAGGGCTGAGATGTGGAGGGTCTATAAGGTCTGGTCCTTCTGCAGGGCTGAGATGTGGAGGAGTCTATAAGGTCTTGTCCTTCTGCAGGGCTGAGATACGGAGAGGTGAAGGTGCTCGTCCACACCACTCCCTCAGCTGTCCGTCCTTGAAGAGGAGGTTGAGAGCGGGCAGCGGAACGCCAGACTCGGCCGGGGGCTGGCTGAGAGGACCGGACACTCCACTGTCAGGGTTGGGCTGACCCTGGCTGCCATCCTAAAGGACACACAGGTCAGGGGTCAAAGGTAATTTGTGTATAATACAGTACAGGGTCGTGTTCATTAGGCACAAAACATATTGAAATAAATACATGGAATTGTCCAATACGAAATGCTCAGTGAAATGTTCAGTTGGAAAACATTTAAAAACCTTTTCTGTTGTGTACCCAGGTACTTTCATGTAGTATGTTACTAGTACTAATTAACCAGCTCTTTCATGCACTTAGCAGGCATCTAGCTAAAACATAGAGCATTTATGTTTTTCTACTTTATTAATCTGTGTCCCAAATGGCTCCCTACTCCCTATCTAGTGCACTACCCTTGAACAGGACCCATAGTAATAATAATAATAAATAATAATATGCCATTTAGCAGACGCTTTTATCCAAAGCGATTTACAGTCATGCGTGCATACATTTTTGTGTATGGGTGGTCCCGGGGATCGAACCCACTACCTTGGCGCTACAAGCGCTGTGCTCTACCAGCTGAGCTACAGAGGACCATTTGGGACGCATCCTATGCATCCCATCTCTCTGGAGTGGGTCCCATCCATCCTTCATATTAATAGAGACCAGTCATATCAGGGTTATTGGCTGGGTGAGGTACAGAACATGGAAGTAATTAAACCAGCGATACGTTGTTGTTTTTTGTGAGTGATGTCTGTCTAGACTTGAGTGTTATTTCAAAGGGAAACAAACAAAAAAAACATTCAGTGTTGAGTGTTCAGATTGTCATTATAAGACTGTCTGGTTTGATAGGAGCGCTCTTCAAGTGGCAGGGAGACAGAATAGAACACACAGAGAGACCTTTTACCTGGAATGACTGAACAAAACTCAGAACGTTCAATGATAGTTTTCGGCTGGAATGAAGTAAGTCTTGAAGGCTGGAACAACAAAGAATTACACCATCAACTTACGTTCTTATAATATAATAATAATAATAATAATAATAAAATATATGCCATTTAGCAGACGGTTTTATCCAAAAGACTTACAGTCTTGCGTGCATATATTTACATATGGGTGGTCCTGGGAATCAAACCCACTACCCTGGTGTTAACATCGCCATACTATACCAACTGAGCTACAAAGGAGCACTTCTAAATTGACATTTTTTTCCTTTCCCACCCAACATAAACAAACTCATTATGTTCTTCTAGTACCTGTCTTTGCTACAGAGGCCGTGCGAGGCCATCTTTCGGCATATTTTGCGGTTGAGCTCGGAGCTGAAGAGGGCCATCCCAAAGCACAGCTCTAGAGGGACCCACTCATCTTCAGTCAATGGCATTGCAGGGCGGACATTACATTACATGATCAAATGGGCCAGGGGAGCACAATGACATCATCAAATGGGGACACAGAGGAGAGAGAAGTCATATAGAATAATAATAGATTAGAATGCCAAGTATGAACATTCCCATTTGACATAACCTCACAGACAACAAGTGTGCAGTCGTACTCTCCCCCATTTAAAAGGAATGGACTGGTGTGAGGAATGGTATGCTAGTATTATTAACATTGGAACATTCTAAGTGGTATGCTAGTAGTGTTAACATTGGAACATTCTAAGTGGTATGCTAGTAGTATTAACATTGGAACATTCTAAGTGGTATGCTAGTAGTATTAACATTGGAACATTCTAAGTGGTATGCTAGTAGTATTAACATTGGAACATTCTAAGTGGTATGCTAGTAGTATTCACATTGGAACATTCTAAGTGGTATGCTAGTAGTATTAACATTGGAACATTCTAAGTGGTATGCTAGTAGTATTAACATTGGAACATTCTAAGTGGTATGCTAGTAGTATTAACATTGGAACATTCTAAGTGGTATACTAGTAGTATTAACATTGGAACATTCTAAGTGGTATGCTAGTAGTATTAACATTGGAACATTCTAAGTGGTATGCTAGTAGTATTAACATTGGAACATTCTAAGTGGTATGCTAGTAGTATTCACATTGGAACATTCTAAGTGGTATGCTAGTAGTATTAACATTGGAACATTCTAAGTGGTATGCTAGTAGTATTAACATTGGAACATTCTAAGTGGTATGCTAGTAGTATTAACATTGGAACATTCTAAGTGGTATGCTAGTAGTATTAACATTGGAACATTCTAAGTGGTATGCTAGTAGTATTAACATTGGAACATTCTAAGTGGTATGCTAGTAGTATTAACATTGGAACATTCTAAGTGGTATGCTAGTAGTATTAACATTGGAACATTCTAAGTGGTATGCTAGTATTATTAACATTGGAACATTCTAAGTGGTATGCTAGTATTATTAACATTGGAACATTCTAAGTGGTATGCTAGTAGTATTAACATTGGAACATTCTAAGTGGTATGCTAGTAGTATTAAGATTGGAACATTCTAAGTGGTATGCTAGTAGTATTCACATTGGAACATTCTAAGTGGTATGCTAGTAGTATTCACATTGGAACATTCTAAGTGGTATGCTAGTAGTATTAACATTGGAACATTCTAAGTGGTATGCTAGTAGTATTAACATTGGAACATTCTAAGTGGTATGCTAGTAGTATTAACATTGGAACATTCTAAGTGGTATGCTAGTAGTATTAACATTGGAACATTCTAAGTGGTATGCTAGTAGTATTAACATTGGAACATTCTAAGTGGTATGCTAGTAGTATTAACATTGGAACATTCTAAGTGGTATGCTAGTAGTATTAACATTGGAACATTCTAAGTGGTATGCTAGTAGTATTAACATTGGAACATTCTAAGTGGTATGATAGTAGTATTAACATTGGAACATTCTAAGTGGTATGCTAGTAGTATTCACATTGGAACATTCTAAGTGGTATGCTAGTAGTATTCACATTGGAACATTCTAAGTGGTATGCTAGTAGTATTAACATTGGAACATTCTAAGTGGTATGCTAGTAGTATTAACATTGGAACATTCTAAGTGGTATGCTAGTAGTATTAACATTGGAACATTCTAAGTGGTATGCTAGTAGTATTCACATTGGAACATTCTAAGTGGTATGCTAGTAGTATTCACATTGGAACATTCTAAGTGGTATGCTAGTAGTATTAACATTGGAACATTCTAAGTGGTATGCTAGTAGTATTCACATTGGAACATTCTAAGTGGTATGCTAGTAGTATTAACATTGGAACATTCTAAGTGGTATGCTAGTATTATTAACATTGGAACATGCTAAGTGGTATGCTAGTAGTATTAACATTGGAACATTCTAAGTGGTATGCTAGTAGTATTTACATTGGAACATTCTAAGTGGTATGCTAGTAGTATTCACATTGGAACATTCTAAGTGGTATGCTAGTAGTATTCACATTGGAACATTCTAAGTGGTATGCTAGTAGTATTAACATTGGAACATTCTAAGTGGTATGCTAGTAGTATTAACATTGGAACATTCTAAGTGGTATGCTAGTATTATTAACATTGGAACATTCTAAGTGGTATGCTAGTAGTATTCACATTGGAACATTCTAAGTGGTATGCTAGTAGTATTCACATTGGAACATTCTAAGTGGTATGCTAGTAGTATTCACATTGGAACATTCTAAGTGGTATGCTAGTAGTATTAACATTGGAACATTCTAAGTGGTATGCTAGTAGTATTAACATTGGAACATTCTAAGTGGTATGCTAGTAGTATTCACATTGGAACATTCTAAGTGGTATGCTAGTAGTATTAACATTGGAACATTCTAAGTGGTATGCTAGTAGTATTAACATTGGAACATTCTAAGTGGTATGCTAGTAGTATTAACATTGGAACATTCTAAGTGGTATGCTAGTAGTATTAACATTGGAACATTCTAAGTGGTATGCTAGTAGTATTAACATTGGAACATTCTAAGTGGTATGCTAGTAGTATTCACATTGGAACATTCTAAGTGGTATGCTAGTAGTATTCACATTGGAACATTCTAAGTGGTATGCTAGTAGTATTCACATTGGAACATTCTAAGTGGTATGCTAGTAGTATTAACATTGGAACATTCTAAGTGGTATGCTAGTAGTATTAACATTGGAACATTCTAAGTGGTATGCTAGCAGTATTCACATTGGAACATTCTAAGTGGTATGCTAGTAGTATTCACATTGGAACATTCTAAGTGGTATGCTAGTAGTATTAACATTGGAACATTCTAAGTGGTATGCTAGTAGTATTAACATTGGAACATTCTAAGTGGTATGCTAGCAGTATTAACATTGGAACATTCTAAGTGGTATGCTAGTAGTATTAACATTGGAACATTCTAAGTGGTATGCTAGTAGTATTAACATTGGAACATTCTAAGTGGTATGCTAGTAGTATTAACATTGGAACATTCTAAGTGGTATGCTAGTAGTATTAACATTGGAACATAGCCATAGTTGGAGCAGACTTAAGGTGTTTCTCAATATGCATACTACCGTGCTAAACACTCTCATGCTCCGAGTGCATTCTCCGACCACGTTCTCTTGAGTACGTTCTTGTGAGGACGAGAGTGTGGAGAACGCATAAAACATTCCATTTGAGAAGCACTCCCCCCTACTGTATTACCTCAGGCTGCTCCTCCCCGTTCACTGACCCCTCCCCCTACTGTATTACCTCACGCTGCTCCTCCCCGTTCACTGACCCCTCCCCCTACTGTATTACCTCAGGCTGCTCCTCCCCGTTCACTGACCCCTCCCCCTACTGTATTACCTCACGCTGCTCCTCCCCGTTCACTGACCCCTCCCCCTACTGTATTACCTCAGGCTGCTCCTCCCCGTTCACTGACCCCTCCCCCTACTGTATTACCTCAGGCTGCTCCTCCCCGTTCACTGACCCCTCCCCCTACTGTATGACCTCACGCTGCACCTCCCCATTCACTGAACCTTCTCCCAGACAGGACAATGGCAATAATAAACACGCAACAAGATCTACACAAAGCAAACGTTTTACTTCATAACTATCAGCTAGCTATATGGGAATCGTAATAATCTAGCTAACCAGATAGTTTAACAGGCAAAATGACCTAAAACTAATGTTATGCAAGGTAGATGTCAATTATTCGTGGGTAGCTAGCTGCCAATTCTTCGTGGCTATCTAGATAGCTAACAGTAGTACCTAGCCAGTTAGCCCTATTGACTTACTTGCGATCTACGCACACTACAGTGGGGATTGTAGGCAGGTAAACATGCCAAAACACAGCATGTATTTATTAACGTATCAAGATAAAATATTGTAGTCAGGCAACATATGAGACTTGAAAGGAAAAAAAAAATCTGAAGTTGGGATTTTATTTTTTCTTGCTTCAGCTCAAATAATGGTGGCCATTGATTTCAATAAATGTTGCATCGTTTTTTACATGGTTGCGTCATATTTCTGTACCTACTTTCCGTTGAAGCTTGCATTGATACGTTTAACACGGTAGTATGCCTTTTGAGAAACACCCCTGCTGTACTGTACCTTCTGCCGCTTGCTTTCCTTCATTGTTGACCTCTGTGATCAGCTCAACGGACTCCGTGCTGCTGTTGGCCTCGAACCCACCCCCCAGATCGAACCCACCCCCCAGATCGAACCCACCCCCCAGATCGAACCCACCGCCCAGATCGAACCCACCCCCCAGATCGAACCCACCACCCAGATCGAACCCACCGCCCAGATCGAACCCACCACCCAGATCGAACCCACCCCCCAGATCGAACCCACCACCCAGATGACTGTCTCCTGCATAGACAATATAACAATCATTATACACTGAGTGTACAAAACATTAAGAACACCTGCTCGTTCCATGACATAGACTGACCAGGTGAATCCAGGTGAAAGATATGATCCCTTATTGATGTCACCTGTTAAATCCACTTCAATCAGTGTAGATGAACGGGAGGAAACAGGTTAAAGAAGGATTTTTAAGCCTTGAGACAATTGAGACATGGATTGTGTATGTGTGCCATTCAGAGGGTGAATGGGCAAGACAAAAGATTTAAGTGCCTTTGAACAGGGTATGGTAGTAGTGCTGCTGGGGATTCAGAACTGAACTGAGTATTGACTTTTCTTTTTTGAAGGCTAGAGACTTTGTTGGCTGTCTAACACTGAGCTTTTCATTTGTGTTTTAGAGCCTTACATTTGAGTTGATTTTGTTGGTGTGTTTTCTAGGTTTGCAATGGCTGGCAAAGCTAAAAATGAGACAGTGGTTGGTGATCTACCACTACACTTCACGGCAGGCCCCTATGACTTCACGGCAGGTCCCTTAGACTTCACGGCAGGTCCCTCTGACTTCACGGCAGGTCCCTCTGACTTCACGGCA